ACGTTTCAGAAAGGCGGGGCATAGAGGAGAAACAATAATGTACAGTATGTGGAAAATAATGTGTTTTTTTAACCTTAAACCGTATAAACACATTTCATTACACCAAATACACAAAATAATGTTCTTTTTAGCAACATCATATGACCCCTTTAATATAAAAGGGTACAAATACCATATTTAATAAATACCATTTTCATATAACAAGTGTTTGTAAATCGTTACTTCACACCCCTGCTGGTAATGTTACAACTTCTCATACATATTTTTGAAACGGTCCTGTTCACACATGAACTCTTAATGGTAATTTGTTAGTAATTTACCAGTAAAGTCTGTATGTGTCTGTATGTGCACAACCTTCACGACACAATGTAGAACCATCAACCTTTTAGCCATGTTGCCACAATGTTGTTAAAAGGTTGGCTACGTTGAGGCAACATTCTGTGTTTGATAAGAAGCAGGACAATAAACTGTTTAAGTGCACTAAATAGGATGAAACAGTTCGCCTCTTAACCAGCCAAGTTGTGTAGCTAACGTTAGCTAGCAAAGATATGAAGAGCCAATTGTCTCAAAGATTTTTTTAGTCAACGACAATTGCTACACCACAGTTTGGTCAGCGGGAAATATGTTTTTTTTTGTACAGGTGTTGTGCTGAATTTCCTCTTTGTTGAGTTTCTGTTGACTGACCTCATCTCGCAGATAACTTTTTTTTTTTATTGTATATTACCAGATTCTACAAACACATATAAAAACACAAACGGATAAAAAGCTGAAGACTGGCTGTCTAAAAATATGCACATAACATCTGCTCAAAATTTATTGAAAACAGAAAAGGATAAAATTAAATTGAAATCAAAGATCAGACATAAAACAGACATTAGGCAAGAATTGTAATTAACAGAACAAATATGGACAATAAATACTACAGTGTTGTAAACAAAGGATTTAAACAAGTACTGAAGTCAATAAAAAGTTATTTCTCTACTTTATTCATTTCACATGTTTTTGAGTGAGGAAGAAGGGAATGTATTTAGTTGGTACAGTAAGTTTCTGCAGGTGTGTGTGTGTGTGTGTGTGTGTGTGTATGTACAGGTTTTACTGACATTTTGGGGTTCAAATGTCCCCACAGTGATAGTAGAACCTAAAAACAGCTACACTGTGGGGCAGTCAAAGGTCCTCAGAAGGAAAAAATATTAATAAACACTAAATAGTGTTTTAATTAATATATAGAAATGCAAAAAGATTTCTGTGAGGGGTAGGGGATAGAAATTACCATATGCTCAGCATTCAAACAATAGAAGACAGTGTAGTGCAGATGTAGACATGAATGTCGTGCAGTGGAAAGATGGGGAGCGTCACAGTCAGACAGACAGTAGCTAGACTACAAGTTTTGTAAGTAACTTGTATTCTAGCCAACTATTATAAAAGGTACCATGTGTGACAGATTGTTCTACGACAGTTCTGCGGTGTGTCATTAGGCGGCACTACTTTGTTATACATACTGAAGAGCTTCCCTTTGAGTTGTCCAGTGATGAAAGACAGGCATATGACTAATATGAGAGACCACGTGTGTGTGTGTGTATAGACCCATCTCCTCCAGTAAGTCACTCCTACACCACAGGTGTGATCGACAGGGAGAACGGTTTTCAATCCTGAGCTTTGCCCACGCTGTGAAGCCAGCAGAACTCTGGGTTTCAGAGTATTGTAGTTGACAAAACCAACACAGTTAAGATCCCGTTCATATAAACAGTATTGATGTATGTATATATATATATATATATATATACTGTATATATATGAATGAAGACACCTATGAAAATAAATCTGCATCGTTCAGTCTTTTGATCTTTTGTTTAAAAAATTTACACAAATCTAACCTTACATTGAAGTATAAGAATATAAAATAGGGGGAAAATCTCATTATGAAATAAATGTTGTTTTCTAACACACGTTGGACACAATTGACGGTACCTTTATTTAATACTTTATTATAGGAGTTTTCTCCTATAATGCCTGTTTGGAGAACACCTGACAAGAGATCAGAGACCTGTCCTTCATCTAGAATCTCTCCAGACTCTTCAGATTCCCAGCTTAATGCTGGTGCTTCTCCTCTTCAGTTCATTTTCTCTAGGGTTCAGGTCAGGGGACTGGGACGGCCATGGCAGAAGCCTTTCCATTTTGTGCTCAGTGATCCATTTTTGTTTTGATTTTGATGTTTGTTTTTGGATTATTGATCTGTTGGAAGATCAAACCTTGGCCCATTGTAACATTTCTAGTTTTGATTTTTTTATCTGTTGGTGTTTGTTAGAATCCATGATGCCATGTAACTGAACAAGACCTCCGGCAGTAAAAAGGCCTACAACATTAAAGGGGTCATATGATGCTGCTAAAAAGAACATTATTTTGTGTATTTGGTGTAATGAAATGTGTTTATGCGGTTTAAAGTTAAAAAAAA